TTTCGCTAACCCCACTACGTTTCTACTACTACATTCTGTATTTTAACTGATTTATACTATATCCAATATAATTAAATGAGAGTAAACACTTTTACCTTGTAATTTTATACCAGTTTGTTATTTATGATTACAATCTTATACAAAGTATTTATATTTTATTGTAAATAATGTCCTCGGGAGATGAATTTATATAAGCCCGGGCTTGTTTTCAGATTCCACAATCATATAGTGTACTTTTATAATATGTAAATATTTTTTTAATAAATAGTGTCAGAACAAAAAAACCATATTGCATTAAACCAAAGGTACATTTATCACTATTACAATATATGTACATGTACATCCACATTCCCGAAACCGAAACGGATTTATAAATCAAACAAAACAAATATTTAGCTATGATAAATTAACAACAAAAAGCAAATTGTATTTATTTATATGTATGCACACTAAACACTAAAAACAATCACAAATAATGCAGGTGGGAAGTGATATACATGTAGTACCCAGACAGGTGGCCACAGGTGGGAATTAATGAAACAATAGTATTCGACCAATCAAATAATTAATCTTTACTGCCATAGCGGACATTTATAACTTTGTACTGTACGTGTATTTTCAAAATGTGAATCGCTCACAGTGGCGTGTATACACAGACCCTTTCTGTTGTTAATGTTTATGGGAATATAGATTCAGAGGTGATTAATGACTAATATGATAATCGTAGTTAAAAGACGATTTTCAAAACCTTTTCTACTGAACATATATATAAATATCTAATAATTATTTAATCCCTGTTTTAACTATCACAATGTAAAATATTGCACCTTATATACATAACATGTTATTAACTGCGATATCGCCTCAGTGGAAGCAGACGTTAAATAAAGTGATCTCAAGCACTTAAATATATCCAATTCGTCGATTCGCGAGAAGTGCAACGAAATTATCATGGCAGAACTTGTAATGTTTTTAGGTTCATGCAGGTGGGTCACAGAATTGCCCCGTGATATGAGATCAAAGAATATATTTGCACGTAGACGATTTTTCGAGACGTGTTGTATTCAATTGTTAAGACTACGTGGTGCCTTAAATAAACCAACATTACCAACTTCTAACAGGTTCCATTGATTTATCATTTATTTTATGACAGTTTAGACCACAATGTGTTACGATTCGCATTTTGGTATTCTAAGCTGATTCTTATACGGAATTCTAGGTGCAATGATATACATTCGGATTTGTGTGGACGAGTTAACACAATTATACATGTATGTGACCGGAAGCTTATTCTCAGTCTTTTTCATTTTAATTTTAATATTTTATCAAGAAAAACATACATGTAACAACTTTTGGTCAGGTATCACAGCTTTATAACCATTTAATGATTTATGTCTGTATTAATTTTAAACTAATTTGAGAAAACCATTGGTTGTTAACCCATTTTTGACGATAGCGTATCAGTTCGCACCTATCACTTGACGGAAGTGAATCAACTCGCGGACCCATCATACTTGGCAACGGCATTTGCGAACAAAAGCGCTAGATCAATCAACAGATTTCTATTGTTTTCATTTCATAAATTAATGGTGATTGAGTAATAAAAATAAAACACCAAATGAAAAGGAATGTTATATTCGCCAATTATCGAATAAAAAAACATACGTTTTAACAAAGGATCTTTCAGTATTTACATAATAGGTCAGAGGTGAAAATTAACACTGTGTCAATGACTTTGGCATTATTCCAATATGTTCACGTTGTCACTTACGGCTAATAATTTTACGATATGGAGAGTGAAATGGAATCAGATTTTTTTATGATTTACTGCCAGACATATCGTAGAATATGATAATGTCGAAGAAATCAACTATTTGTTATTTTTTTTTGACGTTATGATGTGAAGAATACGGATACTCGAGCTGAGATCAAGCGGAAGTACTTTTATAATGTAGCATCGAACATAGAACTTCGAATCACCACAATGTTATTCCCTTTAAAAAGGATAAACCTTTCTGTACATTCAAAATTTTATTACATTAATTTTTATTTCATTTAACATGCGTAGACATTTTGAATAGGTCATGTCTGCCGTTAATTTATCTTCTTCGCCGTCTTCAATTGATCGCACTCTTGTCTTTGCTATCACGTGTTCATTGATAATGGGCGTACTCGATTGAACGTTCCAGAATTGAATTCTCTCAATCCCAAAAATAGTGACAATCGAGTGAAAATGGGTACTTCGGGCAACAACGCATGCGTCGACTGGATATATAAATATCTCATCCAACCATGCAGCCGAAACCAATTCGTAAAATTTAATTACGTCACAATTCTACTCACACCACCTCCGTCGCCGGGACTGACAGAACTGTGACAGGACTGAATTTGATTTGATTCAGGTATAACAAAAATCGTTGTAATGCAGTCAAGTGTTTACGTAACATCAAGGCAGTATTCATTGAAGCATATTTCCTGTTGATACTGTTTGACCTGCCTGAAAATGGGCGACAGCTTGTCTATAGAGATTTTGGCGACAGTGAGAAGTCTCACAAGATTATCGACATGCAACATTACATTGCGGGGTTGACTTCTCTTCCTGTGACGTCTATAGGTGGAAGTTAATTCATTTGTGATTTAAAGAAGATACATTACCTGGGATGTGTGTGTGGCTTGTCTAAGACATCACCTCAGGTGGAACTGGACGTAAAACTCCAGGAACGAACAAACGAAGAATGGGATGTGATTTACGGATTTCCAAATGTATAATTACCTCGGACGTGATTTACCGATTTTTGATGTATTTGTCAATGGCGGAATTACTATTTTGAATGGATAATGGATAATAATACTACGATCAGGGTAAGGTGAGCATCTATGGGTGTGCTTTTTTTTATATTCACCATTTTTATTCGCACTTCATATGCAAATAATCGTAATCAAAATGAACCGATCGGATAAATGGCTCGTGGGAAAATAAACGATTCATCTAATAGTTAAACATAGTAGATAAATTAGCAGGTGTTGATTTTTAAACGCATCTCTGGAAATTGGACGGCTTGTCTCATAAATAAACGGATTAGATAAGTCAACGGTTCGGCCATTTCTAAACCCCTCTTGGAGAAATTAAACGGGGTACCGTTAAATTACATCATAGTACTAATTAAACGATTTTTGTAATTTCCAAACGATTTTTATCACTATCACCAATGTTTTGAAATTAAACTATATGCATAGTTTTTAGCGCTATAAATCCCATATTAGACGATACAAGGGTTACAGTGTATACTGATAAGCTAAATAGAGAGAGAGAGAAATGGGGTTTAACGTCCACTCGACACAAACTAGGTCATTTCGGGACTAACATATGGTTTAATTTTATTTCAATAATTCGCTTGCGCATAGGGGTCTTTAGCAGTGGGAGGAAACCGGAGGACCCGGAGAAAACCCACAAGGTTGGACAATAAGCTAAATAGTTTAACTTTAAAACTAAAAGTAATATGTAGTAAGTATTAAATATAGGCTACAGGTTAAGAAGAAGAAATAACATATTCAGGAAGTTATGGTCCGATATGCACGAATATGGAAAGGAACCAAGATCTTTGGGTTATAAACTTACATTTCAAGTTTAAACAAAATGTGATTTTTTGTATAATCCATGAAGTTTCTATCCGATACATGCCAATATCGAAAGCAGCCGAGATCTTTTGGAGATAAACCTATATTTCAAGTTTTGTCAAAATCGGATAAGAATTGTGACCTGTAGAGTGTCCACAAACAAATTGTGGACGGACGGACGGACAGGGGCGACGACAATATACTTCCACATGAAAATGTTGGCGTATAAAAATGATGAACAGGTCACCATTTTGCCTTTTTCGTAGAAGAAGTCGTATCTGGGTGTTCTTCTTCTGTTTGAAATCTCGGAAAAACCATTTTCCAGAACATCTGAAATCTCCTTTAATAAAAATCCTCCAAATTCTGAATCGGAACCAAGAAATTATTAGAAGAGTGAGCGTGGGGATATTACATTCGACAAAGACGGGCTGCCATTTTTGTTAGACGCGGCATCGTGGTCATCTTTATCCCCATTTGAAATCTCGCAAAAATCACTTTCCGGAATATTACTGAGATTAATACTCACATCTAAATTATCCTTTCATAAGCCACGTTTACGTTTACTCTAAAATAACCGGTCTCGGAACCGTGCCAAGCACGCCAAATGTGGCACTTTTCGCAGAAAAGTTAATTTCAGTCCCTATGTAAATTACCCGGATGAAAACAATAATGATGGTTGATTTACTTTGAGCAGCCATTTTGACAGAACTGTCAAAGTTTGCAGGGGGAAAAAGGTCAGGCTTCATTTCGCGCATGCGCAGTGATCCGTACTTAAACTGGCTTAGACCGGATAGCATTTACTGTGCCGGAACCACCTCATTTCAGTGGGCCAGATTGGCACGGTACTCAGTATGCCACGCTTATGTTTGACCCTTTACACTACAAAAACATTAACCATGCCATGCCTGGTACTGTTCCTGGCACGCTTAAAATTTGTAATGTAAACGGGGTTAAAAAATTCCTTCAAATATTGAATCGGAATCAATTTCCATAGCGAAATTATTGGATGATTGAACATGAGAATATTAATTTTGCACAACAAAATGGCGATCAATGGACAATGAAAAGAATTTTCTTGAGAGTTCACGACCTTATAACCCTAAACTTTTGTTGTGAAGTAAAAATTTTAAGATTTCAATCGGAGAGAGACCATGATGATTCACACCAAATTTGAAAAGAATTGGTCAAAAACTGTTGTTGACGGATGGACCAATGGACAGCGTGAAGACATAATACGCCCACACTGAAATGTTGAAAACATAATTAACAAAATGAAACTTTTATTAAACATACATTATGCAAGAGCTAAATCTGCCTATTGCAGGTCCTTCTTTAGGCCTGAAATTTTATCCAAATTATTAATTAGACATTAATTAACTTACATGTATCCAGACCATCATTAACTCTCAACGTCAATGCTAGTCTACAATATTTACTGGATTACGATCCATTTTGCTGCTCAACTTTCACTCATGATTTAATCATGAAATGGATAATCAAGACTATGTTTTTATCGTACCGACTTTAGTAATGATAATCGAGGCTAGGCCACTCTTTATCTAATATCCCATAATGTATCTTTAAAGCGAGAATTTCAAATTTTCTAAGAAAGTCAAAACATAATTATTTCTATGTCTTTTGCTCAATAGGTTATCAAATCACTATTATACGATCATGGGCATTATTTCCCACCCTTAAAAATCTATGACGCAGGAAATAACAAAATTACCTCCCCTGTTTTGCTATTGACAACATGGGGCAGCCATTTTCCAACGTTGGAATTTGAAGTTAAAAATGATATTTTTGCCAATTTCTCAGCTGGCAATAGCGAATTATAGGATTAACAGGATTATTCTTTAACAAGGTAGGACTGTTTATGGATACCATCTATTTTAAGGCTTTATTTTAATACATTTTAAAAATACAACTTGAAAATTTGCAATTGCAACTTTAAGGAAATCTATATCTCAGTATAATTAAAAAGAAATTCATAAACTAAATACTGGTAATAATTATTGTATTTGATAAAATATTTGAAAGCAATCAGAAAATTCAATGCTCATGTTTTTTTTTTTTAAATTCTCTTCAGAACTTTAAGTTAATAATTATGATTGTTTAAATCCACAATGACGACATTGATGCAAGTTACTGCTTGAAATAGTCAATTCTGTATTTGAATCGAAGGCTGAATTTCTACCCACCTAGAGGTAACTCGACTAGAAAATTGCGTCGAACATTTAAACTTCTTAATGAGGATAAATCACCAAGTTGTAGAGGAAGATGGGAAATTTCATTACAACTAACATCCTGTATAAACAGAAAAAACAATAACAAAACATGAACATATATTGATGGAGATTTATAAATTTATATAGGTACATTCCTGGAGAATATTAATTTTATTAGTGTCCTGCTAAAAAAAATCCTAAGCGCAAGTGAATAATTGAAATAAAATTTAAAAATATAAGTCCCAAAATGACTTGGTTTGTTTCGAGTGGGCATTCAATTCCATTTCTCTATCTAGAAGACAATAGGGGTACCAAAAAATAGTGTTATTACCATAATACATGTTATTAAATACAAAGGAAAGCAAATAGCATTTCAAAGTTGATTTGTGTCAAGCTGAAACTGATAAGGCCGCGGTTAATTAATTGTCAGTTTCTCATGACCTGAGTTTGTGAAATATACATGCTACATGCGGTAATTATTAATTACTGAGAAGAAATTTATTTTTTTAGTTTAATGCTGTTTCTATTTCAGCAATAACTAAAGTCAGTTACTTGGTCGTTGAAAACCCATCTGTAACCAGTGTCCGCGATTTATTCACATTTATTAAATATTTATAGATTAAAATATATGTTGCACAATATACATGTAGCTGGGCATCAAGACTTGATCATAATAAATAAGTTTAAATTATTAGTGATATGCTTCTAAGTTAACGGTTCGTTAATTCATTCATTCTTGGCATTTCATTTCTTTATCTTTCCCTACTTTGACAGGTTACGAAATGACCTGTTCCAAACTGGTTGATGATTTGTTCTGACATAAATAATTAAAAGCATACCCTTGGATTTTTAAATACAAAATAAGTTAGATTATTTAACATGTCAGTCCAAAGAATTTACTACACACGTGGAAGATAGTACCAATGCCATGGCAATAGCCTGTATGTTAATTGTCTTCAACTTTGAACCCATCGGCACATGGCATCATTATAATATAAATACTATTATTGTTTTGTCTATCTTAATCAAACTGTTTACATTTATTTGTATTTTTGTGTCCTTTTGAGACTGTGGTTAATAAAATACCGTGAAGCAGTGTCAACATGCGGGCGGGTCATGAGAAACAAACAATTAATTAACCGCGGCCTAAGGCTAGAGTACCAACGTCGCAAAGGTTTGATGAAACACGATTATAGTGTCATTTTTTTTGTTGAAAATTGCCACGATAATGCCATGATATTGCCACGATTAATATCTTGGTGTAGCAGTCGCTATCTTGTGAAACGATAGTCGTGTGACATGATAGGCCTCGGTGTAATGTTACATGTAAAATTAACAGTTTCCACTGCGTACAGACATTTTAAGCATACATAGTGAAAGGAACAGTGTAGTAAATTCTTTGGAAATATAGATGACATGTTAAATAGTCAAACTCATTTTGTATTTGAAAATCCAAAGGTACGCTTTTAAATATTTATATGGCATAATTAATCATTTAAAGAATGAGGTGTGGCGGCCATTTTTAAATCAACCTGCTTGCAACTGGTCAATATGTGATGTCAAAATACCTGATCTGTCAAAGTACGGGTAAGATGGAGAAATGAAATGCTAAGAATGAATGAATGGAGTCTGTGCTATAATACTACTTATTTAGACCTGCGTCACAAAGTCATCCTGTATAAAAATTTATCAAAATTTTTGAGCTGGCGTGACCGCACATAACCGATTGCTATTGTTCGGGTGAAATTTCGTGGCCTCGTAACTTAATATAATAAGAGAGAAAATAAAAAATAGAATTTAACTTACAAGTTCCATGAGTTTTTCTAACATGCCAATTTCCTCTGGTAAAGATACTAGTTTATTATTGGCTGCTATTAATACTTCTAAAGAAATCAGGCCACCAATATACGACGGTAAAACTGTTAACTGATTACGACTGAAAAATACAACACAATCGTAAAATAAACTATGATACATTTTTTATAGTCACTACTCACACTGCCACTAAGAACTTGAACACAGCCTGTCACAAAGTATTCTGTGTCATTTTGTTACAGCTTTTTGGGTAGGAATACTGGAATAAGCTAGGGTTGGGCGATATACCGATTTTTCGGTATACCGTGATAACATCCTCGGCGATAAAATATCGAAAAACCGGTATATCGTGATAACCAAAATCATCCCGATATGATAATTATCATGTCCCAATATTGGTGATAATATGATATATCATACGAAGTCGAAATTGTAATGTGAGAGGTCATGATTGATGCAAGGACTCATAATCGAGGAACAGAACTGTTTGGCAAGGTCAAGGTTGGACAGTAACGTATTTCTCAGGGTATATAAGTCGATACTTTTTTCCGCGACCGAAGTTGGACCTTCGTCTTATAGTCTCCATCGACTTATATATCGATGAAGGTAAAAAAAATGAGGTCAAAAAGTGTTTTTTCTCTGTAACTGTCGTCCTACGAAGTACGATGTTGTGTGACATCGTTTGCTAAGTATACAAATAATAGCACTCTCACGGCAAAGTCAACGCACATTGTTTTGACTTTTGCTATTGTTATTCCAATACAAATACTTGTCGGAGTTTCTAAATATATATATATAGTTTGTTCAACTTTAAAAAAAAACTGCGGCTGCCAGGCAGGATACGCCCACATTTTCGAGAGATGGATAGAGAACAAGCTAAAAGGAAAGTGATTTTTCCTACAATCAAGGACCATAATTCAGGAAATTACAATTTGATATGCGCAAATATCGAAAGGAACCGAGATCTATGTGTTATAAACTTAAATTTCAAGTTTCAACAAAATTGGATAAAAATTGTGACCTCCATAGGATCCACAACCTTGATATACCATATTTTTACGCTATCTGAGAACGAACGGCGGCCATTTTGCCTGTCAATTTTGGGCCGATTTTCACGAAATTCGAACTCAGTCGTCCTTAGGGTGTAACGGTGATATATTAATACATTTTTTTAAATCGGATAAAAATTATGACCTCTATAGGGTCCACAAGCTGAAAACGCGATTTTTCTTACAATCAGGGGCCATAATTCAGGAAGTTACGGTCCGATATGCACGAATATCGAAAGGACCGAGATCTTTGGATTATCAACTTACATTTCAAGTTTCAACAAAATCGGATAAAAATTGTGACCTCTATAGTGTCCACAAGCTAAAAACGTCATTTTTCGTACAAACAGGGGCCACAATCCATGAAGTTTCTATCTGATACATGCCAATATCGAAAGGAACCGAGATCTTTTGGAGATAAACATATATTTCAAGTTTCTTCAAAATCGCATAAGAATTGTGACCTGTAGAGTGTCCACAAACAAATTGTGGACGGACGGACAGGGGCAACGATATACGTCCACATGAAAATGTGGGCGTAAAAAATTGTGACCTTTATAGGGTCCACAAGATAAAAATGCAATTTTTCGTACAATCAGGGGCCATAATCCATGAAGTTACTGTCCGATACATGCCAATATCGAAAGGAACCGAGATCTTAGGGAGATAAACCTATATTTCTGGTTTCATTGAAATAGCATAAAAATTGTGACCTGTAGAGCAGTGATGGGATTTCAAAATTTTAGTTGTCGGACATAACTCTTATCATTATTTAAGCAGGCATTTTCAAACCACAATTAAGAACCACGTGTCAACAAAATATTCAAATTCATACGTAATAAAAAAATTAGATGCACCTCGTAATTGTTCATATTTAATTCCCGTACGGTATTCAAATTTATGTCGATAATATTCCTAAACCAGCGGGTGCCAGGCAGGATACGCCCACATTTTCGAAAGATGGATAGAGAACAAGCTAAAAAGAAAGTGATTTTTCCAACAATCAAGGGTCATAATTCAGGAAATTACAATTCGATATGCGCAAATATCGAAAGGAACCAAGATCTTTGGGTTATAAACTAACATTTCAAGTTTCAACAAAATCGGATTAAAATTGTGACCTCCATAGGGTCCACAACCTTGAAATACCATATTTTAGGCTATTTGAGAACGAAGGGCTGCCATTTTCTCTGTCAGTTTTGGGCCGGTTTTCACGAATGTCATCAAAATGGAATCTTTTCTGCCGACATCAGACGTATTACATTCGGCACGTTTACACCTTTTAATTCCACGTGTCTCGTGATATACTAATACGTTTTTTTTAAATCGGATAAAAATTATGACCTCTATAGGGTCCACAAGCTAAAAACGCGATTTTTCGTACAATTAGGGGCCATAATTCAGGAAGTGATTTTTCCTACAATCAAGGGCCATAATTCAGGAAATTACAATTCGATATGCGCAAATATCGAAAGGAACCGAGATCTTTGTGTTATAAACTTACATTTCAAGTTTCAACAAAATGGGATAAAAATTGTGACCTCTATAGGGTCCACAACCTTGATATACATGTACCATATTTTTAAGCTATTTGAGAACGAACGGCGGCCATTTTGTCTGTCAATTTTGGGCCAATTTTCACGAAATTCGAACTCAGCCTTCCTTAGGGTGTAACGGTGATATAATAATACGTTTTTTTAAATCGGATAAAAATTATGACACTCTATAGGATTCACAAGCTAAAAATGCGATTTTTCGTACAATCAGGGGCCATAAATCAGGAAGTTACGGTCCGATATGCACGAATATCGAAAGGAACCGAGATCTTTGGATTATAAACTTACATTTCAAGTTTCAACAAAATCGGATAAAAATTGTGACCTCTATAATGTCCACAAGCTAAAAACGTAATTTTTCGTACAAACAGGGGCCATAATCCATGAAGTTTCGATCTGATACATGCCAATATCGAAAGGAACCGAGATCTTTTGGAGATAAACCTATATTTCAAGTTTCTTCAAAATCAGATAAGAATTTTGACCTTTATAGGGTCCACAAGACAAAAATGCAACTTTTCGTACAATCAGAGGCCATAATCCATGAAGTTACTGTCCGATACATGCCAATATCGAAAGGAACCGAGATAAACCTATGTTTCAGGTTTCATTGAAATAGCATAAAAATTCTGACTTGTAGAGCAGTGATGGGATTTCAAAATTTTAGTTGTCGGACATAACTCTTATCATAATTTAAGCAGGCATTTTCAAACCACAATTTAGAATCACGTGTCAACAAAATATTCAAATTCATACGTAATAAAAAAATTAGATGCACCTCGTAATTGTTCATATTTAATTCCCGTACGGTATTCAAATTTATGTCGATAATATTCCTAAACCAGCGGGTGCCAGGCAGGATACGCCCACATTTTCGAAAGATGGATAGAGAACAAGCTAAGAAGAAAGGGATTTTTCCTACAATCAAGGGTCATAATTCAGGAAATTACAATTCGATATGCGCAAATATCGAAAGGAACCAAGATCTTTGGGTTATAAACTAACATTTCAAGTTTCAACAAAATCGGATTAAAATTGTGACCTCCATAGGGTCCACAACCTTGGAATACCATATTTTACGCTATTTGAGAACGAAGGGCTGCCATTTTCTCTGTCAGTTTTGGGCCGATTTTCACGAATGTCATCAAAATAGAATCTTTTCTGCCGACATCAGACGTATTACATTCGGCACGTTTACACCTCTTAATTCCACGTGTCTCGCGAGATTTCTATTTTCATTTTGCGTGTGTGTGAAATAGCTTTATTTAACTTCAGCTTCCACTGAAGAAATATCACAGACAAGTTATCGGACACAATGTATATTGATTTGGGGTGTTATATACTATTAGGATATGTGACATATATGACTAATGTCTACGGCCGACATGAAGGAGATTAAATGGAGAATGGAGAAATCACGGGTTAATCACATAGATCAAGTTTATTGGATTGATATATAGTTCGACAAAGGAGAAGCAATGACTTCTTTTCAGGATTGAATTGATGGATTGTCCGACAAAGAATTAAGTCAGTCAAACAGGGCAGATTAAGTAGTTAATCAAGGTAGGTGTATAGGCGGCATAAAACGATAAATACGTTGATCACTTAATTACCTAATCAATCCAGCTTATTATCAACGATAATCGGGTTGAGTGGTAGTTATGCACTCAGTACACTATATTAATTTTGGAATTTTGAATATTATTTACCATGTCTTGATGTCCGATTGGGAATATTCCTGGTCGGACAATTTAGGACATTTGGAAAATAGCGTCGGACATGTCCGGAATATACGGGCAAAATCCCATCACTGCTGTAGAGTGTCCACAAACAATTGTGGACAGACGGATAGGGGCGACGACAATATACATCCAAATGAAAATGTGGGCATATAATAAAATCAAATGTATAATTATAATCTCAAAATCACCTTTCCCACCTAAAGTATGAGGTCCAAACTTTAGCAGCTTTCTGTGCCTGGAATTTAAATTGTCACGGATACTTAGCCTAGTTGGGATTTAAATAGCCACTCGTACCTACATGTGTACCTGAGATACATGTATAAATGGTTACTTGTACTACCGGAGATATAAATGATGTCCTACTTACATGTAAGATTAAAATACTTTACCACTTAGGATTTAAATTTTCAAGGCTACCCACCTAAGAATGAAATGTTACCTACCTGAGATTTAAGTGTGTCAATTGTTGTAAATGGATGATTGTTTCTGGAATGGACTTTATACAATTATGATAACAGTTAATCTTCTCTATAGAACTATATTCACATATTTCCTGTGGGAATTCCTGCAAACGATTCTTGGATAAATCTAAAATGAAATAAAACTAAGAAAAGCATTTTCTACCACATATTGCATGATCAGGGCTCACGCTGTCGGTCGTCTAAGGCGCAATTGCGATAAAAAATTATAAGTGTCCATTAAAATTTGATTTTAGCCATAATTTGGATGATAACGTTTTGGGGTACTTGCAATTCTCTTTGAGAAGTGGCTGAAAAAAATCTTAAAAATCTAACTGTTTTTATCCAAGATTGACCATTACATTAAAATCAACTAGCTGATAATCTGGATAATACATCCATCCATGACTAATTACTAATAGTAGAGGACCCTACCACAGAATCTGTGACCAATCTCCCAGTATCATGGTTTGAAGGTTGATTTTAGATGATTTGAGGATGCTGAACAAAATGAGCGGGGGGGACCCCTCGCAAAAATGTGGGCTAACTCTGCCAGAGGCAAAAATCCAAGATGGCCGCCATCGGGCTCCCGCGAAACCATAATATGGCGTATATTTGCTCATATACAACCTACAAATGTGTTCTTGGTGTCTAAATATATGTTTTTGGGGTCAAGGAATCTATTTACATGTATGATGTCAGAAGTAGGTTTCATTAGGGAATTTATCTAAAAAAAATGAAAGATTGCTGAAATTGAAGTCTGAACTTATGTATTATTTTTATTACTCAAACAGATATACAGGTCATAGAAACATTATAATTATTGGTACATGTATGCTTCAAAGATGTTCACTGTAATTACCTTGAGACACAGACATGCGTCAAGGATTGTGCTTACCTTTCACAATCAAGGACAGTGAACGCAACCTGCGTTCTGGTAACTTACCAGGACCTAAAAATGTATTCATTAGAGCAGCAGACAAATTCCCATCACCCAGAGCCTTTCAGGAATTTTTGCGCAATCATGCAAACAAAGAACGTCTACAGAAATTCCTTCAAACTGAGTTTAATATGCTGTGTAAGGTTTACCCCAACACAAAGTTTGTGTATTCTGTTGGGCCAAAATGTTGGACTATGCCTGATGGGAACAGATATGGGAACTATGAGTGCGACCACATTGAAGCAGATACTGTCATATTCTTTGTATATTCAAGAATTAGAAGATCAGGAATACAGACATTAGTTGTCATCGATGCAGAGGACACAGACATACTTGTTTTATCCGCATATGTTGCAAACACGATCGACGGTGATCTAGCAATCAAATGCAAACAGGACATTATTGACTGTCGGACCCTATGTCCCAAAGAGATAGCAGATATCATTATTCCACTACATATTCACAGTGGGTGTGATACGACAGCAGCCTTCTTTGCACATGGCAAGACAACAATTTATGACAAAGTACTATCTGCTTCAGAGGATGCACGTGCTATTCTACGCTCAGTTGGCAAGTCACTCCCTGTACCACAAGTTGTACTGGATGAAATGGCAATGTTCACCATCAAGTTTATTTATAATGACAAGCGCAGCCAAACCCTGGGAGATGCGCGTGCATGAAAATGGACAGAAATGAAAAAGCAAAAATCAACACTCAGACTTCCACCAGACAGAAATTCACATGACCTCAAGATTAAAAGAGTCAATTATCAGACCTTCATGATGCTGAATTTCCACAAGGCAGATCCACTTCCAACTCCCATCAACCATGGGTGGACCCTTGACAATGATATGTGCATACCAGTGAGATATACACAGCCAGCTCTACCCAGGTATCTGAGTGAAGTCAGACAACATCACTTGCAAATAGATACCGGTTTAGGAGAAAGTGATTCTGGTGGCGAGTTTGACGATGATGCTGATGCTGATGATGATGATGATAATGATGATGAAGACGATGATGATGAAAATTGATACCAATAATTATAATGTTTCTATGACCTGTATGATATATATCTGTTTGAGTAATAAAAATAATACATAAGTTCAGACTTCAATTTCAGCAATCTCTCAATTTTTTTTAGATAAATTCCCTAATGAAACCTACTTCTGACATCATAAATAGATTCCTTGATCCCAAAAACATATATTTAGACACCAAGAACACACTTGTAGGTTGTATAAGAGCAAATATACGCCATATTATGGTTTCGTGGGAGCCCGATGGCGGCCATCTTGGATTTTTGCCTCTGGCGGAGTTAGCCCACATTTTTGAGAGGGGTCCCCCCCCCAGTGTTCGACACAAACGTCGGTCCGTAGGCCCGAGGCCGACTGATTTATTGGAGGACTCATGCTTGCCTATTTCACTTGGGTCCGCCGGGCCTTCGCCTTCTTTCTTATCTCGCATAGTTAGTGTCCACTACAACAATTCGGGAAATGCTAGAACTGTCATAGAAACGCAACCTCCGAGTCTCCGATAGTTGACGGTTATTGTTTACTTGTCATCGACATGACGGAAGCTGCTGTTTTTCCAAACATTGACTCGCGTAACCAGCCTTTGATTTATAACTGGTTTTTATTGTCGGCTTTAGCCGCTTGAACTTTAAACAAACCGATTGGTAAAAACAATGAAACAGCCACTATGGTATCATAAATCAATCTACTTTCGGCTAAATTTAACAGAAGTTAATTATTATTTTTTGATTAAGTAGTCAATCAACTTGCTTGTTGGCTACAATAACAGTCATACCTCTCGGTATGGATTGCGAATATCGCTCGGGAATCGCGCTTCTTCGACGCTCCGTATAGATTCCAGGTACCGGTAGATAATAAAATAATAATTGGATCATGCATTTAATGGTTTGGCTGACCAGTTGTTACAGAAATTTAAATCTTAGTTGAATATAATCCTCAGAACAGTCATTAATAATATATTTTTCCGACAAAATCTTCGATGCCAAATCCGCCGATGACACGTGACATCAGTTGTAATTTCTAGGGCAATAAGCCAGCGATGCTAGGTTTAGTTTTAAGTAACGTTTACCGTTATGATTTTTTATTTGATACACATGCTGGCAGAGGCTAAATTTTAAACATATTGTCGTTATTATTATTGAAAACTATATGGCATTGTTGTACGGAATTTTATTTTAAAGTAATTTCAATTATGGCTGTCACGTGATCACTGTGCCGTGTGTCTTTCATGGACGAATGAATAAAAACATATTTGCAAGTTACGTGATAGACAAAAACTACAAATTGTGTTATGAAAAATACCACCGTGCTGTATCATTTTATATCCATCCAAAAAACGAAGACAGTAATTTATTCAGGAATATTACTGACACGAAAATTTTCCGAACGGTGTAGCTGTAGGCCTACCTATTATTTAAGGTAATGGAAGCTTATAATTTTAAAACCATTTCCTACGGGACCTCATTTGACTCAATTCTGGGATATTGTGCTAACAATCTAGGGCGGGATAAGCGAGTTTATGCCATTCCTCAATGTTATCGCCAGGCATCAAGTTTTTTTGTGTAACTGTTTGAAGTTGACCTAGTTTGATGAGAAAAACCGTAAATTATGTAGCCGTGATAGATTTGTTTCCATTAAATTGAAATGAAATTAAGTTACTAAACCCTTAGTCCTTCTGTGGTGTACTGGCTTTATATGTACTTCCTTGATTCTGATCGTTCTGCGCTTCACTTGGAAACTATAAATATTATTATTATTGGTTGGGCCTGCGCGTCACCTGAAGGACTCACATGATCACGTGTCACACAGGTCCTGCGGGCCTGTGCTTGGAAAATGTTTGTTTCGGACACTGGTCCCCCCGCTCATTTTCTTCAGCATCCTCAAATCATCTAAAATCAACCTTCAAACCATGATACTGGGAGATTGGTCACGGATTCTGTGGTAGGGTCCTCTTACTATAATCAATTGTCTTGGATTAATGATTAGTTGATAGATATTTGGCAATGACGAAAAGCTTATCTCAAGTCATTAGTTATTCCTAACAATTAATCGATGCAGACAACAAGAGTTGTCGCATATTTTTTCTATTGTCGGTAATGAAACATTTATAATACACTAAAATCTGATTAAGAGTAACAACTCATTAAACATACATTATGTAAGATTTAGATAAAAAGATAGCCGTTCTTGCTATAATACAGTTCCTCCCAAATTTTTTGGACCGAAATCGCCACGACGTGGTGATAAAAAACTCTCAGAATTCTCTTAGATTTCACGGTGAAATTTCGCTTGATTCCGCGGCGATTTTTCTCTAAGATTCGCTAGGAATTCACCGTGTTTCTCTAGGAATTCGCCGTGTTTCTCTAGGAATTCACCGTGTTTCGATAAGAATACATCGTGTTTTGCCGTGCTTCCCAAAAGGAATTCGCGAGCCTACCTTAAGCTAGGGTCGAACTAATATTGTCTATAATAAATTAAAGGAGTTGTAATATAGTAATACTCCCGGGAAACGTGCACATGTATAATGTACTGGCAGGTTTGAATAACAAATGAGTAAGGTAATCTCGGGAAGACATTTACCGGCATTCTGTATCGGTTAGGATTTTTTCTCAAACGCACTTTATACATACATAACGCCGGCCAAAATGTATGCAAACTATGAACAACTTACAATTTTTTAAACATATCAATTCATCTTCGTTTATAACTTAGATGTAATCCGTCAATTTGGGGCTGCTATCAAATCCAAACTTTAAATTATATACGATGAGCTTTTACACATTACTTCATTACTCGCAGCTTCGGTTAATCTAAATCAATCATCCATACAGCACGTACAGTAAATCACTCCGCGGGTCGCTTAACGGTATCTTACGTGGTCAGAAACGCGCCAAAAGATTGGGACTACATGTATATTCTTACGCTGTTTTACTCGGCGAATAATATCCGCTGTGACAATATACATCTACTTTATGTCACCCAATTCATTTCGGTGGGAGCAGATATTGAATAAAGCCATTTCACACACACATACGTGTACATTACATGTGCCTCATATATTTATACAATATCCACGAGTGTGTTAATTCTTGTCTTCACCCTGTTATAATTTACTTATTTTGAGTACACTTTCTGAATGATTCCATTCTTTTGTAC